TATTACGTTGATTCTCTTACGGAACACAGTGATTAACGCAAGTATTTTGTAATGATTCGTTATTACATCGAATTGACTCAATTAATAACATACTGGTTGCGAGTACATTGACGATCTTAACTTGTTCTTCGAATATAGTAGCAACCAAACGGTGTCAGTTTGCTGATCTCTTTGTTCACTTTTTATGAAAAAAAAGCAGCAAACAATAAACACCAAGCTAAATAAATAAATAAATTATATAGAAAAGTTTCTATAAGAAAAGATGCTATAAAAAAGTGCGACAATTTTTTATGCAGATCGCATCTTGTTAAGAAAACGCGATTTGTCAGATCACGAGAGTGCAATTGAGATCGCGCAACTTATTGAGACATCGGTGTGTTTAACACGCCGTTACGTCACGCTTCGTGACTTTTATAGTAACAAATCGGGACGGTATTGTGTCCCGTGCATGAGCTTCCACCACAATATTACAGCTTACATATGTGCGAACGTCATTAGCATAACCAACAAGCTCGACACGACGCCCCGCACAGGACGCAGACGCGGCGAACACAGAACGTTGTTAGTTACATGTGTAAAGAGTTCGGGAGAGAGACAGAAGGGGGATGCGTGAGGAACGGCAGCGAATTCATGAGAACACACCAGGTGTATTCTACCAGTTCTTGATCTTCTGAGCCACGTGCTCTGACATATTCTTAACTCGGTAGTGCTCGCAAATCATTTTACAGTTTATATATTTCTAGATTTTATTTTTACTTGCGTTTCTCAATCCGTGACGTTCATATATCTCTTCCGTGGATCATTAAATAGTAGATAGTTGTTGACAGAACTCTAGCAGTGATTGTTTTGGATATTCAACACGTGCATATTTTTTAATATTCCAATTTTTCTGAAGTGCAGATGTATAATTGAGTTCGCAATTTAGAGCGCGCGCGGGGCTTACTTGCGCCGCGTAAACGGCATAAACAATTTCTTCACTTCAACGTTGTTACGTAACGGGAGAATCCGTTCCCTTATTGTTTACGAGCGCGAGCTTCTTAAATTTGTGTTATTTTCATCCGATGTCGCAAGATAAATGGCTTGCGGATTTTCTGGCAACAACGTTATCCAAAAAAGGAATGGAGAAAGAAGCATCGGCAAAAGAATATGAGAAGAGAGAAAGAGAGTTCATCCTCCGCTTCGCCTCCTAAGAAAAAGTTAGAAGTTGTTCTTGAAGAACGTCGTTCTTCGAGGCACACAGTGAGCGGCACGTCGCTCTCTACCCGTCTCGCCTCCGTATGTCGCCCTCCATCTCTTTTGTACCTTTTGCCTGTTCTTTTTTTTCCGCGTGTTCAAGAGCAGTGTGCGACGCCTTCGGGGCGCCGCGTCTTGTTATCCGCGTGATATATGGCGAACTAATTGTACCGCGATAAACAACGATCGCGTTGCAAGGAAATCGATCACCCATTTGTATACAGTTATTCGCGCGATGATCGAACCTCGCTGCAACACTTCTTAACAGTGTTTATAAACGTAGATAAAATAAACACACAGGCGAGCTTTTTTCTCTCTCTGATGAATTTACATGTTGGTAACAGATGAAATTTTTGTTGCAAAAAATAGGCAACTATTTTTTCTTTTTTTTTTTTTTTTTTTTTTTTTATTGCTTGAACCGTTGCCTTTAATAAATTGTCGTGAATGTTGACATCCTCCGCCGGTTTTGGTTTTGCGTCCGGCAAGCGCGAGAGCGCGTCCCCCTCCCTGTTGGCCCTACTTCCTTAGTCCGTCCGTCGGCATTCGTGATTTATCGCAACGGAAAATAGGAGAAATAACAAGGGATGTCGGCTGCGTTATATGCCTCGCTCTATCCCAGAATAAAAATGTACTTTGAACCCGCAAGCCAGCTATAACCGGACGGTTTTTTAATAGCGAACATGGTAACTGAATCGAATATTTGTTTCGTAAAATTGAAACAATAAAAACTTTTAGCTGCTAACTTGAACTTTCTTATTTTGTGGCGCATTTTGTGAATATTTTTTAATTACTGCAATTGCAAAAGACATTAATTATAGATATATAAGATAAAAATAGATGGAAAAAGTACTTTTTAAATATAGATTACATCTATTAAAGTTTAGAGTGAAATCATTTCTACTTTGTTCAAAACGCAATATAATTACATGTAATGTTTTACTTTTAATTTAGATTATTTTTAAAAATAACGTGACTGCGTATAATATTCATTAGTACGTGACGACGCGCAAATATCACGCGCGCGTCCAGTCACACTTTTCACATGAATCTTCTTCGACCTTAGTCAAACTACAGATAATGTAGCGTAACGTGTTTTACTTTTTTTTAATTGTCTTGTAACCTCGGTTGTTTATAACGTGCAAATTTACGATCACTTATTTTTCTGTAGTTGCATATGGTTGCGCAGAAAGCATGGACCGGGAAGAAAGTTACGGTCTGTGAAGATTAGTAGAAGATTGTTCTACTTGTTCGTATTATCTTTGTTCTTTGTGCGCACGTCTGACGGAAATCAAGGAAAGTTTGCACTATTGTAAACCGAAAAAAAAAAAGAAAGTTAAAATCGTATAAAGGCATTGTTGGTTGCGTCACAGTGAAGCTATTCCACGACCTCCCCTGTTCCTTTTTCCTCAGAGACCGAGAAGGCCTCGTGTATAATATCAAAATTTATGGCTTAGGCCGGCATAAAGCGTCCGAACTTTTTCTCTTTAGCATTTCATGCCTTCTCTCTTTCCTTCTTCAACGTTATATCCCTCCATGTGCTTCCAACACTGTCGATCTCTCTCCTCTGTACATTCCAGCGCGCATAGTATTTCGCACGCATTTATGTGAAATACATATATATTATTATTATTATTTTTTCTCTCGTTACATTTGCTATAAATATAAAAGAGTCATTATGAAACATATTCGTGCAAAATATTTTTTCACTTAAATTTAGTGATAAATCAACGTATCACGTAAACATTATCTAAATCAAGTGATTTCGTCTTGATATCAAAAGTAAACTGTGCTTATTAATAACGGAGTCATGAGAACGGCTACACGTGCGGAGTAGTTTGCGTGCTGCGGTAATCAGTATAATGATCAGTGGCCGAATTGACGTATCGCCAAGATAATATATATGACGGCATATGGCGGCAGATGCATTGCGCAGCGTGACGTGCTCTAACGCGTCATTGATAGCCCTCCACTCCTCTCCCCCTTCCCCTTCCCGTACCTCCCGTCACTCTGCCGCCCTCCATCAAATTTTCCTATCACCCCAGACTACTCCCTTCATTTCCTGCCCCGACGATCCCCCTGCTCGTCCCTGTACCAGCTCGCTCTTCCTCCCCCTTCTATCGTGAGCGGAAGGGACGTAATACGAATGAGGGGAACCCATGGCCAACCAGCGTCTCGTTGCTTTTAGGGATAAGAATTCTATCCGCGTCGTATCCTAGCCCTTTTTTCACACCGATGTTCGACGAAAAAAATAACATTGTGAGAAATATCGCAGTGTCGACAGTTGAAGAAGTGTATCTATAAGAAATAGTACTCTATACCAATGACGTATATAGCAACGTTTCTCATCCTCCAGATTGGTACAAGAATTTCGATATTTGCAAAAAGCAATTAAACGTTGAAGCAACTTATAAGAAACAAAAATAGCAATTTTATAATACACAATTATAACGTAAGAGCGGAACCCTCTCTAAAGTTTTGATCGCACAAAAAGAGAGAGCCCGAAATGACGAAGAAATGAGAGAAAATATTCCAGATCTTTTTCGAGATATCTCGCGAACTCTCGTAAGCAGCGAGTATTCGATCGGCACGTCGATAAAATTTTGTTAACATATTTGAAGAAAAACAAAATTGCGACGTTGTAGGACGAAGTAGCCAAACGATCACCGGCAGCCGGGCCGGCTGCAAGAAGCTGAATAAATTGCAGTTAACACTGGAATCTGTGTTTTTGCATCGACCGCACAAGCCGCCCTGAGATCTACTGCAGATCAATTACAATTAAGAGCAGTTAGCGAATTGCCAAACGTTTCAAGCACGCGGTGCAGATATATTCAACGCTTCGTGCGTGGCTCGATAAGCGCTTTCGCGGAAAACGTAATGTTGCGTCATTAATCTATGCGGCAGGTCGTTGACTACCGCAAATGACCGTGTTTACGAATTGTCTCAGTGCATCTGACTCGCACAAATGCATAAGAATCAATTTGATTTTGTTATAAAATTATTTCAATTTTTATATTAATTTTTTGTGTTGTTTAAAAAACTAGAAAAAACTTAAGATAATTAACTAAAACTATATCATGTAAACTTATAGACGTCTTTTCGTCTGATATAAAATAATTTTGTTTGCACAAAAAACAATATCGCGCGAAAGAATTGTAGACATGTAGAGCAGATAACTATCAGTCGTCCGTGTACTTTGTCAATGACCACGCGAATTTTGATGAATAAGCGGAAAGTGTATAAACGAATTTTGGCAGGATCGCTCGTTATGGGTTTTGTAATGTGACACTCGAAGCATGTTCCACACTGTGATTCGACGTTTAATTTAAATGTCGCGTTATCTTTCGTGCTATTTCACGTTTCCGTGTGTGTCACTTACAAAACGCGCATTATTATATACAAGTTGATATCTTTAATTAAAGACAAAAACTAGCCATTTAGATCTTCGAATGTGTTCAATTTTAAGAGTCGAGAGCCAAGAGAAAGTTGTTTACAACAATTTTAATATTGTATGCGTTTAATACCACATTTATTTAACATTATATGCGTTTCTCTATTATATAAACTAATTAATATCACAAGTTTCACTCTCTTTTCTTTGTTTCATCCACTACCTACTTATTTATTTAATTTTAATGTAAAATTTTTATTTAGGAAACTCTGACATAAAGGCGCGCGCTACTATTATTATTATTATTATTACGTTCACAGCCTTGAACGATAACTCAGGATGGTTAATTATAAGGTTATCTGACTAATAATCCGCTCACCTCCGTCGCTTCTTTTTCCGTCGCCTCCGTCGGCGAGGTCGCCTCCTAGTTTCCCCCCTGTTCAAGGGGGTAGTCGCTCTCCCTTGTAGTTTCAGGGCCGTTGCTGCTACGCTAAACTCGACTTCTCCCCCTGCCTTGCTTCTTCCCTGCACCGGGGGCCTTGTCTCCGCCCCGGCGCTGGGCCCCGTCGTGGCTGGTACTTCCCTTTACGCACGACCTTCTCAGAAGTCTTTGTCCACGAAGAACGAACGAATTCGCCGACAGTCACCGAGCGAGTCGCAACGGGACACTGCGTGGGATCAGAAAAACCCAACACCGTCGACGAATCATGTGTCCTTCGAGCAGACTCACTGTCTATCAGGTAGAAGAACCATGTGAGTCCATTCACCATATCACCCTTTCCTCACTATGCGATACTTTTTTCACACGATTCTTACGAAACGGAGAAGTCACACAAAATATCTCGGAGCGCTTTTACGATCAAACTCCGATCTTTATTTATTTATTTATTTTTTTTTTTTTTATCTTATACTGGTACTGTTTTTTTTTCGAGTTGAGGTCTCACTTTGTCGGATTGTCTTAAGAAGATATTGAAGAATCGCAGTGTGTAATTTGTCAGCTGACAGAGCTGTGTGCTGATGAATAATAATAAAAAATAAGCGAGCGATTGACTTAGCGTGACATCCGGAAGGGGATCAGGTCATCCGAAAATTATCCTCGTCGCACTTTATTCAGACGTTAACTGCCGGGACAAAAACCTGAGTTTACTGATCGGGCTCCTTCAAGACATAGCGAACGTATGACGTGAGGTCGATGAACAGCGCACTATTTCCAATGAATCGCAACTTAACATTGATCTACCAAGATCTACGATGCTCAAATTCCGCAGTTTGGAAAAACAGTCCTGAAATAACGTTCTACAAAGCACAAAATCGGATCTCGTTTTCCAAATTCAAAATTTCTTTCGAAGTTTCTCTTTGAAGTTTCTTATATCCGAGAGACAACAAAGAAATCAATCCTGGGAACAGTGCGAATTATCGGACGTGAACAAAAGTAGTTTGTATTTACGACGAGCTCCTCACGATGTCACACTTTCTCTCAATCATTCGATGTGTCCTTATCAATATAGCTGCTTCAGCTCGGAAGCTAAAGCACAATGATCCCGCGAGGTTGTTGGTTTTTTTGTTTTCGTTTTGTTTTCCAATGTACCAAGAAAATAAACGTCGATCCTTCAGGATTCGTTAACTGGAACTCGATCCTCGTGTCGGTCCTTCGGGCTGTATCTGTCCCGCAAGTACTTTGACAAACTCGTAGCCGAAAGCGTACCGCACGTGTATCGCGTCGCACGGGAGACCGTGATTTCGGGTGATATCATTCGTCACCGGGCGAATTCCGAACGCGGCATCCCGTTCACGAGTGGCGGTCCTTACGAGCGCTCGGTACGTGTCGTCGGCCAGCGTCGGGACGGTCTTGCGCTCGCCGATACCCATGGAAAGCCGCGGACGATGCCGCGGTGATGTATATCTTAAGCGAGAGATGCGACGACTCTGATCCGCGAATTCCACCCGCTCGGTTTCGCAGCCTCCGACCGGCGGGACCGGAGCGCCGCGACGCGAAGCGCCCTGTGCACATGCGTTAAGCTTCACTCCCCCGATACACCCGTATACCCCTCGACCGTCCTACTGTTCTTGCCTCTCTTGACGCCCCCGTGATCCAGCACGATGGTGGTTGTGTACAGGCACCAAGAAGACCGAGCGAGAGTCCCTTCTCTCCCCTACGTGTGTCCGTCTTCGGGACGCACACGGGGAGAGAATTCGACGAGCACCACGGGGACACTCGTGAGAGAAGCGTAACACCATATATATTGTCTCACCGATGTTTTCCTCTACGTCAACGAGACGCGTTTCTCCGTTGCTAATTACGTCATGGTATATATTCCAATGATTTTGGCTGCTATTCTCGTGTTTCACACGAAGCGTGCCATATGAAACCTATTTTTATCATAAGGGAGAGGAGGTATTGAATTACATTTCATCATCTAATTTATCGAGGATTTATTCAAACGCGGAGGAAGAGAATCAACGTCGAGTCTTGCCGTCTTTTTTTTTGCGCGAATCTATTTCTAATTCCTCTTCGACTAATTTGAATCTCCAGAAACGCTCGAAATAAAACATCGCCGAGAGACGTTATAAACTCAAACGTACTCGCGTCTCACATCGCATCCACGTGCCACTCATTCAAGCTTCCATCAACCGCAAGCGTACGCGATTCGAATTGAATGCCGAGCTTTCGAAGCCTCGGAACGTGCACGGCCTACAGTGTCGAAGGCCGCGGAGAAAATTGCAGAAAATCCCGAGTCCGTCCACGCCGTGGAAAACCGCTGACGGATTCGATCGTCAATCTTTCAACAGTCGTCGTAATCCCATCAGGCGACTACGTCGATTTCGCGTACAAGTTAGATGGGACCGCGATCAAATGTGTATTTCCGCAATAATGCGTGTTATGCGAAAACACACAGCGAAACACGTGTCGAATAAAACGTGCGCGCGCAAATTCCATCTCGTTAATCTTATGGGCGATAATTAAAAAATAAACAAAATTGATTTTACTTCTTTAAAAATCATGTAAACACGTGGGTGAAGAACCTGTTCGAAAACGAGACTATACGCGAGGAACTAATTTAATTACCACATTACAATGTATTGCAGAACATTATAATTCGTGATGTTACGCGGTCTAAACTGCTATTGCGCGCTGTAGCGTAACGTACGAGGAACATAAAGAGAGTGCGTTACTTTATAAATATTAATTGAGATTTCTGTTCTCCGTTTCGTTGAAATATGTATTGCTCTACCGTGTTTTTATATCGCGCATATAACAGTATTATTTACTTATAACAGTATTATTTACTTATCAACAATATTTTTTTATTTAAGTACTTTAATTACTATATTATTAAAGAGAATAAGTAATATATTTATTATATTTTATTATTCGATTACTTATTGCAAGATCACTCGTACAATTGAGTCGGTTTTATTGTTGATGTAAAAAGAATGTATTAACGTCACATTGCGATTTACGTCTTAAGGAATTTCTTAATTTGTATATACGCACGAATTTTTTGGCGCAAAGACCGAAGAAAGAAACAAGAATCATCTATATTGTGTGTACACGAAAACGTATTTTCGGAACGCGCCGAGCTGCTATTGCAGGTTTAACTCACTGCTGGGGAGATTTAAGAGACACCGAAAGCGCTAAATTTTCGGACAAGTGCGGTAATCGTTCTGCGGATCGCAAGAAATTAACGGGACACTAAGTTGTGTAGACTGCGCTGTGAGCGTAGGGAAGGTAGCATCGAGAAATCACAAACTAGGCAGCTACCAAGACAGCAAAGTTCGCACGTCGGTAGGGAAGGAAAAGAAAAAGAAAAAACAAGAAGAGAAATCTAAAGAACGGCTAGGAAGAAAGAGAGAGAGAGAGAGAGAGAGAGAGAGAGAGAGAGAGAGAGAGAGAGAGAGAGAGAGAGAGAAGGTACATAAACCAACGGGCACGGGCCGTGAAACAAAGCAGGAGTTGCCGGCCGTGTAATTGGACTTTTTGGAACTTGCTACTCTTTTTACAAGTACAAAGCAGGTGGGTACAGAACGGGATTTTCTTAATTATTAATCGAGAGATCTCGGGCTGCTTATTGCATGCACATTTACTTCATCTGCATACGTACGTACGGGCAAGTTCGCTTCTCGACGAACAAATATACGTCTTTGTTAAGAGAAAATTATTCGTTCTTTTTAATAAATAAATATAACAAAAGAGCGCATAAAAGTAAATATTACAAAATGCGCCGTATACATTCCCGACGTTGTGAGTCGCCATGTAATGACGCCATCAATAGAGAAGATAATATCGTCAGCGGGAAGAAGCGGAGCCAACCGTTCATTTGTCCAGTTAGCTCACGATTGCCAGACGCATTGGGGCTACTACCGTCTTGGGCAAGTCGCACACACGCAGAAGCCCATATATATGTATATGTGCGTGTACGCACAGGAGCTTCGTCTCTCACAATCAGTAATCTCTTCCTCCTTCTACTTCTTTCATAGGCTACGCAGTCGGTTCTATCTCACGATCGTAGATATATACGCTTCAGCATTCGCCCGCAAATGGTCGGACGATGGTCGCGTAAGTGTGCGCGCTACCAGAACTACGTGACCTAGTTTGTTGATGAGACGCGTGATGTCCGCGTGAAATAAACAGAGCTTTATGACAATTGACAAACGCTCTGATTGCCGTCTTGTTGTTACCGATAACTAACTATTCATCCGTTTTTATAGACGCGACTCGATAAGAAAACAATATTGCGCGCGTAATTTAATGTTCAAAGTAAAATAACCGATTCGAAATAACATCCTCTCATTATTGGAAAAATATCGATGTTTATAATAGCTAGCATATTTTATTAGTGATCTCTACGATTGTCATATTGCATCATACACAATATTATTTACGATCAAAGAGCAGGTCATGAAAAACCAAGTTAATTATGTTATTATTGCGTTACATGCGATATTTGTTTGCGATCAAGGAGCGATTAATAATAAAAAATAAAAAAACACGTTAATTGTACGTATAATTGAAAGGTTCGCAAACACATATGCACAAGCATCGTCGTCTATAATCCAGTAGTACGTTGAAGAATATAAAATTGTTATATTACAGGTTTTATAACTCTTCCCCGAGTACGTTTCGGAATTAAAATTCCGCGCAAGTTGTATCTTTTTGGATCTGCAGAGTACGTGCCAACGCAGCGATATCGCTTTTCCGTTATCCATGCGGAGAGCTCGTCGACAGTTACTTCTGTGATATCTTTCACGAGAATATTGATCTCTTATTTGAAATCTTATTTTCAGCTTAAAATATTTAAACACGTCGCGTATATCAATCGTAAAAAGAAATAATTAAAACGTCATATTAAGCAGACAGAAGTCTATGTCAAACGTTTTTCTCTCTTTTTCTTGTAAAGTTCAAATATTTCTCTGTCAATCAAGTGTGACGTCGTTGTTCAGATATAAACGTTCAGATAAGACTCTCATTCATTATTATTCTGCCTCGTATAAGAAGCACCATTGAAACGTGAAATTGACAAAGTTATCAATAAACAAAAAAATCAACAAATCAATAAATCAACAAATAAAAAAAATGTGCGCGTATAACGTGTATAAATATACGCTCTTCACGCATCACCGACATCTCATGAGCATCGGGTAGATTATACTGACGCATAAGGGAGAATCCCAACCCTACGGTAGAGGAAACTCTCTGCGGGAGTAGTCCGTGGAAGCGGAGCCAGAGAAGTTTCGCCTCGAGAGCGTGACGGGGGTGGAACGAAGGGTGGCGTGGAACGAACGGAACGGAGAAACGCTGGTGAAGGAGGACGCTGGGGGGAGAGAAGCAGGCTGACGACTCG